TCTAATAACCCTTACTACCTCTTCTACTATTGGATTTGAATTGACAATTACATCTCTGTGCTGATGTGGTAGTATGGCAACATGAACTGATGTACTTACGTACAAAGTTCTACGTTGCATCTGACTGACTGACTGAGAGAACTGAGGATTTTCCTATGAGTTTAGACGTTAGTGGTAATGAACATAGGAGATGTAGATGGCATTACTTTGACAAGTGTTTTACTAACAGTCCATCTAACAATTTGATTAGCATGATGATCGATTTCATTGATACTGATGGTGGTTGTTTTACAACATTCACGAAGACGATTGTCATTGTGGTGGTGTATTGTGACATATCACCATTGCTAATAATAATAATAATAATAATAATAATAATAATAATAATAATAATGATTTTGACAGTCACGTAAGCGGGATAAGTGGAATTGGACTGTTTATGCTGTGCATATTGATTGACATGATCATGGATCGAAATAACCTATATAGATGTACTATTGCATATATAAATTGTGTGAATGGTGTACTAGGGTGTCAGTTACTACCTGTATTTGGTTGGGCCACAGGATTAAGCAGAACTGTTCAGCTGAATTTTTAGTGGTTGAACTTTTACTAATAGAGTCATTTGTTGACTGACAGTGAAATAATTCTTTTTGGCGAAGATGCTGACACAATACAGGGTCTTCTGACTACCCTAAGCATTAATGCAAGCATGTACGGGATGTGATTCTGCCTGTCGGAATGTAAAATTTTACTTCACGACTGGTTTTCATCAGTACCTGCACTGCTGATTGGGAGTGAAACAGTTTAGCTTATTGACGGCTTCAATTACCTAGGTACGAAATTTGTGCAAGGATACAGAAGGCTCAAGTGGCCAATGCGAACTTGCATCACTTATAGCGTTAGAGAGTTATCCGTCTGTTACCAAAAAGACGAGTGTACTGCGCAGCAGTACATTTCCAGCAAGAGCAGAGGATATTCGTCCGTTACTAATATTCGATCACAGGTGTCTTCGAAGTCGTTGACGAGGGGACTTAGCCATATCGGTAGGTGTAGACCAAGTAGTGTGGGTCCACTAAACAACGCAGACCTTGAATGACACGTCTCAAAATCTTTTTCGCTGGCGCAGATGCTTCGACTATTTGTCCTGTCTCGAATTCTAATCATCTGAATCCCTCATCACCTTCGTCTTTAACCCTCTATTGACAAGCATAATTTTACATTTGGGTTTCAGGAGAACCAGGGAGACAGTCCACGTGGTTAGCATTTCGACATGAACAGTTCTGATGAATCCTGTGACCCAACCAAATACAGGTGGTACCATTTATATACACTAGTATATCTATACTGGTTATTTACGATTCATGATCATGTCAATCAATATGCACAGCATAAACAGGCCAATTTGACTTATCTCGATTACATGACTGTCAAAATTATTATTATTATTATTATTATTATTATTATTATTATTATTATTATTATTAGCAATGGTGATATGCCACAATACAACACCACAATGACAATCAATGAAATCGATCACCATGTTAATCAAATTGTTAGATGGACTGTTAACAAAACACTTGTCAAAGTAATGCCATGTCATCCATCCCTTATGTTCATCACCACAAACCTCTAAAAACTCATAGGAAATTCTCAGTTCTCTCTCTATACAGCAGTATACCATATGGTGGTATCCATTTCCTTTCATATATCTATCTATATTACATTACTTCATCAATATTGAAAAAAAAATCATTAGACATTTCCGTTCATTCTTTTAAAATGAAAACAAAAATTGTATATTATATCTAAATTTTGTTTTAGTGTTTTGAAAAAATACAAGTTCGATGATTCATTTTTTTCTTCGTCAAAAAATAATAAATATTAATGAAAATATTTCTTTGATAAATAATTATTTATTAATTTAATAAAAAATATCATATATACAAATTATTGAGATAAAAAATCTTGTATATATTGAACGTTGAATTAACAAATTCTAATGAGTTGAAATTCAAACAAACACACCGACACCCACACACACACACGCGACCGAAGAAAACATAATAGAAAGGCAGTTAAGTAGGTAGGTAAGTAGGTAGGTGAAAGAAAACTGGTGAAAATATGTACCACAGGAACGTTTGCTTAAATACACCATAGTAATAAAATTCTTATTATCATTGTTATTGTTGGTTTAATTAAAATTAGTCAGTATTCATCTTGTAAGAAGAGAAAAGTTTAAAAAAAACACTGATTAGCACTAGTGAATATCAAGTTGGAATTAGATTGTGCTGGCCAATTTTTCTTGTGTTCTTAAGCTTCATAATTAGTTCGTCCAGACAATCGTTACTAACTAGAGTCTGACAGTTAAAATGAATCAGAAGGTGAACTGGAAGTTTTGTTTAGGTTTATTTTGGCACAGAACAAAATGAATCGGCAGACTACAAACACTGAAAGATAAAATCGTCATTTGAGCATCGGAAAACAAGCGAATTGGTGAATATTTGAATGAATTGATGAGGTTGTAGTGAAGTAGAACATAGGTGAGGGCAACCGAATTGTATTTATCTCAAATTACAGAGTTAATTGGTAAAATAGGAAAACTATACCGTAAATCGTTAATTTTCAAAATATCAATCCATTATTTCGAACTGGACTGTTCCTTTTGCAAACATCAATTCATCGTCTGACATTTCACTGTTCATGCGTTTCATACAAATTCCATTGTGTTCCCACCCTTCCTTTCTTAATCTTCCCTCATCTTCTTCTGCCAGACATTACGTTTACACTCGCGTCATATACTACTTATAAGTAGAGGGGGAGCGCAGCGCAAGGTTGATGGTGGAAGGCTGAGTTACATGAGGAGGAATGGCCGCTTTTTTAAATTTCATGGAGTGAGATGGTTGCTGTGTGATGCGCCATAATGTGAGCTAACTGTATCCCACCTTCAATATCAATGTAACTTGAACCTTTGACTGGTTTGCCTGTAGCCATTAGGTACCTTGTGTGCAAGGAGTATGTGAGGAGCGGCGTATGAAATTATCTGGAAGAAGAAGGAACAAGAGAAAAAATGAGCTGACGACTCGTTAAGCACAAGATTAGTCGATATTCTGACTTCATTAAATGATCAGGATCGACGGTATACGATACAATGTATGGTTGATCTAAGAGCAATGATATTGTCAGTAGAATGATCATTGATGGGTAACATTAGCGATGTGTAATTCAGAAATTCAATTATCACGATATATCAGCTATTGATGATACACCTCAGTGATTTCATTGTCAATAAACTAAAGTATTTCCTATTCTCACATTCTCCACTCGTCAAGTAAAGATAGAATGAAAATTCGTTTGTGGGAATATTTGCATGTCAATGAGTAGCTGAAAACTGTCATATAAGCAAATGCTTACATTAAAGTTGAAAAAGTGTTATAGAGCATAATTATGTCGGTTGGGAAACGGGATTCATTTAGATGAGAGAAACAAGAGATAGACAACGTGATATGTTTTTGATAGAATAACGCCGAATCCTAGTTTATTGGCTGTTAGCGGGACAAAGATTGAACTCAAACATGTTCTATTGTGTTAATGCATGCTCATTGGCTATTTCGAATCCAATCAGCCCTAGTTCATACTGGGGGAACATTCTATAATCTTCTTGTGTAAAAAGTTAGAAATCTACTAACGTTTTGGACATTTTACTTTCGTCTAATCTTATTATTGGAATATAATCTATTTCCTGTTCAACATCTTGAGTGAATTGATGTCCAATAATACTAAGCATTAGGTACAGCTGGGAAATCAACAGATGAGAGTTTACTGAGTGAATGTCCTAACTCCTAAATACACATGTGTTTGCACTCTCGAATCTAATCACCCACAATTCGGATGCATTAGCGTTGGTCTTAGAGACCTGGGAGCGTGATCGCAGAGCTCAAGGGACAACTGCTTGAGGCCGGTCATGCCCTGCTTTTTTCTGAAAAGTATTTTGAGTATTAGCTCCGCTCTTGAAAGCCATTTTTGGGCACCCTTACCGATGGAGACGGAAATCCATAAGGTAGGGTAAGGTATGACATTTTTAGGGTCGGCCTTTTCTAACCCTTCCTTCCTTGTGAGAAGGTAGCATCTCTGTAGATGCTAGTTGTCCAAGAGAAACACCTTACTGCTGTCACACCCGTCTGCATTCAGTCAGCAGTACGACTTCGCTCTCAGACCTTGAGTAGCAGCTGCTTTTAGTCTCATCGTTCTCCAATCGACCAGCCTCACATGGTAGAACCTTCAGGAACATATGTTCCAGCCAATATAGCTCAGCTGGGTCATCACGATAAGCAAGCCCGACCACCATGTCAAGTTAGCAGCTTCGGTAGGGATTCGGATGCATCTACAAACTGCGAATTAATGATTCTAGTATTTTGAGGATAGAAGGGCTAATGCATTTTACATTTCGAATCCCCAAGCTGAATTATAATAATGAATAGTATTGTTTTTTCAGTCATTTCACAATATATACTGAGGAAATCATTGAAATATATCAATGCCTGATTGTTTCACTTACTCAACTATTGTTGTAATTGATTAACCTTGACATTCTGTTAGGACCCAATGAATCTATATCTAATTGAATGAACTATAAAAACGTTTTAAGAATGTTTACAGGTGGTGGTACAATGGTTTCGATTTTATGACAACATTCCATATTTTTTTTTTCGCCATTCTAACCATCAATATAGCCTCATTCATAATGAGCTTGACCTTGTATTAGTTTAAAGTAAACAATGGCATTCACTGATTGGATTATTCCTATGTTTACATTCGCCAATTATATACTTTTCTAAATGTGACCGAATAATCACTGACTGTGCCAGTGTATTTAAACAAGAGTCAAATTGTAAACAGCTTAATCGATGACAAAAAAGTTAGTGAACATCATACAATAACTATGTTTAAATCACAAGTAACAATAGTACACATTATATTCTTATACTTTGTCTGCGATGCAAGTGAGTTAGAATTTATTGTTTCTTATATGTGTATTTTCATTTTTTGGTTTGTTGTTATATTGATATGACAAGTTTGTCATGGTAAACAAGTATTTATTTTGTTTGGTGGTTGCATTACCTTGTCAGTAAAACTTGAGCAAAAGCTTCGTGATAGGTCTACCGACAACTTTAAGAGAACTGTTATACAATAAAGGATTGAATCTGTAGCTGTTTGGGATGATTGCCAGGTGAAAACGCTCAAACGAATCAAAACCAGGAATAATCGTGTTATAGAATAATGATATTTATTGATTAGTAGTCGCGTGATATCAAAATGATATCATGTGTTCAGCCAGACAGCGAAATAACAAGAACGATCAATAAAATAACAGGGTTGGCGAGGTTATTTTATTGAAGGAGAAATTAGGCATTACATCGGGAACAGCAGGTGGAGAAAAATGGCAGCAACGCGAAGAGAACGTTGCGCGCAAGAAGTGTTTTTGGTACGTATTTTCTTCGTAGAAGCGTTCCACTACAGCAGCCCCGGCCTAGAAAGGGTTCACACTTTCGATACATAGCGGCTGCGTTCGTGAGGGGTATGGTCGGCCAATATTTGTTTGTCGTGCGGAAGGGTTGACGAACAGGAAGAGACCAATGGAGCTTGTGTTGTCACCGATAGTCTTCTACGTTAAACTGTACCAGTCTCAACGTGCCAGGTTTGCTGCTCGAGTTGACATGCCAAGTATTTCTATCGGATTGGCATGCCACAACAGCGTGGCTCGTATCCAAAGTCTGAAGATTGCGTTCTTAGGGGTCCGGACCAGATCAGGCTGCAGACGTAGGACCGAACCAGATTGAGCGAACGAGCAGGAAACGATGATAACGATCAGTGCGAAATCATTCGTATACCAGATATATTCGAAACCAGAACGTCGACTGAGTGCATTAACAAAGAGAGTGGGTGATCAGGCCAGCTTTCGCCAAGGTTGACTGAAGTCGACGGTACCAATAGGGCGATGGTCGGAGTCTTGGGCTCAGGAAACAAAATAAAGAAAAAAGAGAAAGGTGTAGCATACATGGAGTATGGGGATAGTGTCCTATCGCGTATTCGTTGTTGTTTGGGATATTTGTCACGAAATCGTATAGGTAGGCGTACGCGGCGACTGAAACGCGAGACGGTAGTCTCGTGCGTATCTAGTGAGCCTGCAATCTCATCCGAAGTCAAGGGCGATGTGCTCTGCTGATGTGGATGTGAGACCAGAGTCTCATCCGTAGATAGGGCAGATGACACGTGCTGCTGACCGGGACGTGAGAAGGATGTCTCCGATGCATCTATCGTGGGATCAGAAGAAAAAATAAAGATCTCGCTAGTGTGTTGGACGAGTCCAGCATTAAATCTCGATTTACGAGGCATGGCACTGTCATTCACGTGTGCCGGTATGAGACGATCAATGCTGACTGTGTCCATCAACCATGAAGGTCTTTTCGTGACGAGAGATCACGTGAAAAGATCCTTCGTAAGGTTGTTGAGTAGCGAATCTACTCCTAAGAAAACTTGCGGACAGGTAAATAACTCTCGAGGGAGAGCGACCTGTCGATGTTATATTCAGGTTCACACCGGGGGCAGTATTCGCATCTACGCAGATAGTCGTTGGACGTTATCTGATAAACCTAAAATCGCTGCTCCGAGGTGTGAAAAAATTCCCCACGCAGATGCAATATCGTGCCGTATACAAGTTTGTAGGCGGAACATTGAATATCTGCCGTTGCTGCTCCGTAATCGCCATGTCGTCTGCTCACCAACTTTAGTGGTGTGCAGGTAGATACCCGACTGTCTATGATCACCACTAAATGTTCCATATTATCTCGTCATATATATGTCAAAATAAATCCATGTTTGAGTATTTTATTGAAGCAGCGTTCCACTACAAGCCCTACGTCACACAGCTGCACAATCGGAGACATCAACACAAAACTACTCGATCAGCGGTTGACTTCCTGTCGAAATGAGATATCCTCTCGTCACTGACCAGTGAGTCACGTCTAATGCACTCATTGATTAGACAGTCATCACATGGCTTTAATTTATTTATTGGTCCGTAAAGTGATGCAATCTATCTAAAGTCAAGTGATTATTTTGTCTCAATAATTCGCATTCATTGTTTTCCTTACATTATTAAAAGAACACGAGGTGACAGCTCAGTCTACAGACTTGATGAATTCAGGTAAGTTAATGATTGTTCAACATAAAAGTAATGCTCTATCACCCACTCATTCATCACCTTGCTCTTCATGTGTATTTGAAAATAATTGAAGTGAATGTGTATGTTTGAATCTGATCTATACATTTGTATTTCGTTTGTGTAACTACTCACTTATGTGAGCACTTGATGAGTGATTGAATATTGAACCAAACAACTCAGCCATGTTCAACTTGTGTCACGTAAGATAGACGAAATCGATTTCTATCTAAATTAAAAAGGGTAAACTATTGTGGGAGTAGTTGCGATTGTCACCACTACCCAATGACCTGCATCATCATTAATGTTATTCACTCGGCGATGCTATCGGATAACCCCGACTTAAGTTTATTTCTCCCCTCAAAAAAATAGGCATGATAGTTTTCATAATGAACCTCATCATCAAATTATGTTATGTCTGCATTTCATATGCCCTCATTGCTGATTTCTTCTTCCAGATATCGTTCAAACGACCCTCTTTGTTTTTGTAAAAGAATGGGATGAGGGAATCAAAAACGATGGACTACATAATTATTTGACTATTTTGGATAGTTACTGTGAAAATGTAAGTTCACAAACACTATCATTATAGAATTATATGACTTCATGTAACGTGTATAATAATAATAATAATAACATTCCAATGACAATATTTCATTGAAACCATGACTAGGTTGGTGAGGAATCTTCTCCGAGTAGTATTGGGAAGACGTGACCACTGAAGTTCAACCTTGTCGGGTGTAGACAGTAGTAACTACTGAAGACTGTGTGTATGAGGTTGCGCAACTGCGTGAATTGATCACGTTAGACATTTACACCGTTAGACACCGGCTCAGTGGTCCGATGATTAGGCGTTCGCCTACAATACCAAAGGTCCTGAGTTCGAATCCTGACGGGCGCAGGAGTCGTGTATACGCACTGCTGATGGGTAGTCCCATACCAGGACGAAACAGCCGTCCAGCTCTTCCAGATATCTAATGATGTTGGTCTAACATTGATCGATTCATGGTTTCAATAAAACATAACAATATGCCCAAACCCGTAATACAGACAGCATTTCAATCGATCTTCATGTGATAACCATAAGAATCTCTGAGTGATTCAATATACTGATCTAACGAATCAGTATTGTTGATCAGGGATAATACTTGACATTTCCGAAATGGAACATGTAGATTTTGATGTGCTAATATGGAGAAGACATAATAACAAAACTTTCATACTGTTAGTCATGTTAGGGTAATCATCTGTTTGACATTGTCACAAGCCATGATCGTTCTCACCATGATTCATTTTGTGATCAAGAATGAAATCTTTAATTTCAGTTCTAATGAACTAGACTTTGTTTAATCACTTCTAAAGCCAATTTAATAATAAGATTTTATGAATACTGTTTTCCTATGATCTCAATTAGGCGAAGAAAGTGGTGAGGAATTTGGAACCGAAATTGAATTCAGTCCATTTGTCATGTGACATAGATACTACACAAAAGCGAGTTCCGGGAACGGCTAAAGTTGAACTAGCATTCTTATCGAGTGAAATGGAAAAAGCATTTTCGTCAAAAACTTGGTATTCTCAGTTAAAGAAGACACTTGAGACGAGCTCTGTCGGTATGGACAGTACATGGATAACCAGTGAGTGACTCACACATTCAAATTCATATATATTATCCAGTGAATATCTATTTTGAATCAATATACGATTCATTCAGATCACTTGATATAATCTGTAAACTCCCATCGAAACTACATATGCTCTAATTCGTTTCAGATATCATTACAGTTGGTGGTAAGTTCAAATCTAGAAGCAGCGCAGTCTATACTGTCTGTAATCCCGGCACCAGTTGAAACTCCCACTAAAACTGACGATGAAGATAGTTTTATAGGTGAGTAATAAACTCTGTCATTTTCATTTTGGAATTTTCGTTTTTGGTTCATATTTCGATCTCTCTTTTATATATCGTTAAGATTATCGTTTTTTGTCATATTATATATACCATAGCTTGGGATAATTTTGGGCATCTAAATGCGAACTTATTTCTCATGTTAAATAATTCTGTCCATTGTTAACTAATGACTTATATCAATCTGATAATATCAGCAATATGCGATTGTATAACCGTCTGTCAGATATGTCTGTGAAACTATTCCATTGAGCAGTTTAATATTGTTTGGTTTCTTGTTTCTTATCTGTCACAATCATTTTATTCCAGGGCGTATCACACCGCCTTTAACAAGTGAACCAAATGGAAATGCCGATGAGGTAGTAACACCTGGTGAGTCATATTTCGGACCCATTTGTTTACATTCATTCACTCTGGACATTTTACCCTATATTTACATCTACATTTTACCCCGTACCGTCTCCGGCGGTAAGGGTGCCCACTAAGGGCTTTCAAGAGCGGAGCTAATGCTCAAGAAACCCTACATAAAAAGGCTGTGCGTGACCGGCCTCAAACAGTTGTCCCCTGGGCTCTGCAGTCACGCTCCCAGGTTTCTAAGAGTGACACTAGTCTACCTTCCTTTTCAGGTTCCTCAAGAAACACCCTTACACGGTTTGGGTAGCCGGGAAGTGAGAACCGCCCTCATAACCGTAACAACACACCAGACCGAATTGGTCAAAATCAAATCCTTCCCACAACCTCTAATACCTCTTTCATCTCCACGACTAACTCTTCTCATATTCCTTTATCACACTTCACAGCTAATGCAAACGATCCGAGTTCACGAAACGTCATTTCCGGTCTCCTGAAACCTTGCTCTATACTACTATATGAACATTTTACCTTACGTTATATATTTCGGTTCATCACTAATCTCTAATTTATTATTTTAAATCTCATGCTCACAAATTTTCAAATCCCTATTTCTTGAAAATGTTCCTAATCATCTTCGGTAGAAATCGTTTTGACTACTTTCTGCATGATATTGTGCTGTTTACTATGGGAACTCACTATTCCATTCGGTGAATCCACAGTCTTTGAATGTTATACAATCATACTAAACTGTATCAGCACTTCATATTCTCATATAAACTGAGTAATATTATGTTTTTTTACTATCAAGATCATTTTGAAGTTTGGCCTTCAATCATAAAAATATCTGAGTTTGAAGATTTTCAATTCAACTATACAGGTAACATTGAAATTCGAGTTTGTTTCAAATCAAATTCTGTTGATTTCATCATATTTATCACTGATTATTCAACTTAGAAATACAAAGTTTATCTGAGATAAAAAACCATTTGTGTTTATTGTCAAATAAATGAAATGTTTCATTCAATGAGATTTAAGAGATGTATTCCATCCTGTTTGATACTTGTCAGCTAGATTGACTGTCATGAAGACTATGCTGAGTTAATCCACATAGGATGTAAACACACATACCAAACGCTGGCCAAAATTCAGTGAAAAAGATTCAAAGTAATTGCGTTGTCTTCAATCAGTATCTGTATGGTTTATTCAAGGGGATTTATTGTTCCTTGAGATGAATGAACAGTTACATAGAATCTTACGAGTTCAACTTCATCATTTGTATATTTCTATCGACTATCTAGGGCTTACATTTGAAGCTTTTCAAGACTATTGACCGATAGACCTAGTTCATTCAAGTACTTTATGATGACGAATTTGATGATGATGGTGATGATTTATAGAAAGGCAAGAAAGACCTAAAATTTCTAAAATTCTCCTGATTACATCATCTTCTACCAACATTATTGTTTGTTTTTTGACCATAATTCATCTGCAAATCTCATCGTAAAATATCACTTGTTTGTCTTTCAAATAATAGGCTACTGTATTTATGCTTCATTTCCATCCCGTAAGTTTTGAACTGTCTCTCTCTCTCTTATTCTCACTGTATTACTTACTTACTTTCGCCTGTTACCCCCAATGGAGCATAGGCCGCCCACCAGTTTTCTCCAACCAACTCTGTCCTGGTTTCCCTCTCCAGTTCTGTCCAATGTTTGTTCATTCCTCTCGTATCTTTCTCTATTTCTCGGCGTATTGTGTTCCTTGGCCTTCCTCTTTTCCTTTTGCCTTGAGGGTTCCATGTGAGGGCTTGTCTAGTGACGCAGTTAGGTGCTTGTCTTAGTGTATGTTCTATCCATTTCCACCGCTTCTTCCTGATTTCCTCCTCCATTGGAATCTGACTTGTTCCTCCCACACTTCGTTGTTGCTGATGGTGTCTGGCCAACGAAAACGAAGTATTTTGCGTAGACAACTGTTAATAAACACTTGTATCTTCTGAATGATGGCTTTGGTAGTTCTCCAAGTTTCCGCTCCATACAGTAGAACTGTCTTGACATTTGTATTGAAGATCCTGATTTTGGTTTTGTTTGAAAGTTGTTTGGAGTTCCAGATATTTTTCAACTGTAGAAATGCAGCCCTTGCTTTGCCAATCCGCGCCCTCACCTCTGCGTCCGATCCACCTTTCTCGTCGATGATGCTGCCAAGATATGTGAAGGTGTTAACGTCCTCCAAGGCATCTCCATCAAGCGTGATTCGGTTGGTGCATGTTGTGTTGCATCGGAGAATTTTGCTTTTCCCTTTATGTATGTTGAGACCTACTGCTGCAGAGGCTGCTGCTACACTGGTCGTCTTCTCTTGCATTTGTTGTTGAGTGTGGGATAGAAGAGCCAGGTCATCTGCGAAGTCCAGATCGTCCAGCTGCGTCCTAACTGTCCAGTTGATACCGTGCTTCCCTCCAGATGTTGACGTCTTCATAATCCAGTCGATGACCAGGAGAAAGAGAAAGGGTGAGAGTAAGCAACCTTGCCTGACACCGGTCTTCACCTCAAAAGAGTCTGTCAGCTGACCTCCGTGTACGATTTTGCAGTTGAATCCATCATAAGAATTCCGTATGATGTTGACTATTTTCTCAGGCACCCCGTAGTGTCGAAGAAGCCTCCACAGTGTTTTCCTATCCACGCTATCGAATGCTTTCTCGTAGTCGATGAAGTTGATGTAGAGTGGTGAGTTCCATTCAATTGATTGTTCCACAATGATCCGTAATGTAGCAATTTGGTCAGTACACGACCGATCCTTACGAAATCCAGCCTGTTGATCTCGAAGTTGGGCGTCTACGAAGTCCTTCATTCTGTTTAACAATACCTGTTGAAGACCCGGATTGTCTCTTATTCTCACTGTATGTATATCATCAAAACAAAATGAAGTTGAATGATCATGTGTGAATAATGAAATCTATAACAACCATTCACTATCATAACACATTACAAAAACATTACGTCTCATCACTATTAATAATTTGTTTAGTTTGGAACATTGTTTAGGCCCGCTACTGCGCTACTCATCCAGCTGTTGCGCAAACACGAAGTATCACAATATAAGTCGATTTGATATCTCATATGTAAGACAGTTACCACTCAACATCACTCACTATCCATATTGAAAATACATTTGCCAACTCATTGATCACAGCTTATCAAGGCAGAACTACAAAATCAGAAGGTTTACCAGGCGAAAAAACCTGTCGAAATGTTTGTCAGTTGTGTGTCTCATCAAACATTAGTATAGAGAAAGACAGTATGTGTTTATGTGTCATTTATACAAATGTAATCTGAGCCATGAATTCCAATATTTATTTGTTTCAAAATTTAACAGAATAGTGAGAATCTCTATGAGAAGCGAGTAGTGGAACGGTGCATTGAAATTAACTTTTATTAAAATATCATTGATTGTACAGTTAGTTGTGCTGGATTCGAATTTTTTTTTGATTGTTGATAATAAATAAACCTTTCTAAACATTCTTGACTTTTCATCTCATTAGTAACAGTGGAATATTCAACTTGTTCCCAGTCTGATACAACTAAGATTTCTGAGCAAGTACTAGTTCGCGCCCAATTTTATACTTAGTGGTTCTTGAAAGTAAAGTTACTTCCGTTGTAATTGCAGTCGACAGTTTATAAAGTTTTGTGCACAATAAGTCCTCTTTGATGATATTGTTCGTGTGTTCTGTAGTACAACTGAGGGCGAGATACTGGTATTATTCTGAACCGGTTGTCTGTTTATTGCTTCATCCCAATGTTGACGTTCACATAAGAACGTGAACCAGTTCCCTTTGATTTCTGATGTTGGTCGGGTTAGATTGGTGATAGATAGTTTCCGATTCTCAGTTATAGATCAAAAATAAGCGTCAGGAACAAATTACGTCGGTATGTGACAAGTTGCAGGATGCACATATTTTGATTGAAGAGTTTCGTGAAATCCACTGAATTTGTAAGTGGTAATTAATCTCTAGTTTTCATCAGATCGAAACGACATTGGTGCTAATCATCAATCATTCTGTAGGAGCTAGATAGCAGAATACATAGCGGCTTGCAATGCGTGTACTGGAATGAAGCATCTGTTTCATTGTTAGCCAGTTTATAATGGTGCTTTGACGGTTGTCAATGGATTAAGGAAACAACAATTCAACATCATCAAATGCGTCCATTGTATTACTGCTTAATATTTGATAAAATTGTTTCACCTACTATTGACTTATGAATATATACAGCAATTTGGGTTATTATTTTATTGTCATTAGTCATGCAATCATGATTCTTACACCTGACCAGTATTCTAAAAATCTAAGAAATCGTAGGCCTACATTTCCTGTTCTGTCCAATTTTAGTTCATTCTTCTCATATCAGTCACCATTCCTCAGCGTAGCATGTTCCCTGTAAATCCTTTTTTCCGTGCACTATCAGTCCGTTCTGAGAATTGAGCATATCCGGTGAAGAGTGAATAAAAAACAAACAGAACAATGAAATAAAACGTCACACGAATAACAGACTTTTAACTTCCACTCCGCCTTTGGCTTTGGAGAATCTAAATAAGGGCTTGCCTTGTGATGTAGTTGGGTTATTTCTGCAATATATGACCTAACCACTTCCAGAGCTACTTCCTGATTCCTTCCTCCACTGCAATCTGGTTTATCCTCACACACAGTACGTTGTTGCTGATAGTGTCCAGCCAACAGATCCGAAGTATTTTGCACAGGAAACTGTTAATAAACAATTGTACTTTCTGGATGATGGCTTTGGTAGTTCCCCAAGTTTCCGCCTCATACAGCAGAATTGTCTTCACATCAACATCAGATCCACCTTGCTTGTCGATGATGCTACGCAGATTTGTATAGGATTTTGTGAACTCCAAGCTATCTCCATCAAATGTGATTTGGTTAGCGCATGTTGTATTGTATGAGAGATCTCGGTTTTCCCTTTTTTGTATGTTGAGACCTGCTGCAGCTGAGGCTGCTGCCACACTGGTCATCTTCTCTTGAATTTGTAGTCGCGTGTGAGATAAAATAGCCAGATCGTCTGCAAAGTCCACATCGTCCAGCTGCGTCCCAGTTGTCCATTGTATCACGTGCTTCCTTCCAGATGCTGACTTCTTCGTAATTCAGTCGACAACCAGAAGAAAGTAAGCGAAATTGCCTGACAGTGTTATTCAACTTAAACGAGTCTGTCAGCCGTCCTCCATGCACAATTTTGCAGTTTAATCTGCCATAAGAATTTCGTATGATGTCAACTATCTTGTCAGGTACTCCATAGTGTCGAAGAAGCCTCCATCTGGATAAGATGCAAGAAAAGTGGAACAAGAAGACATCAATCAACATCAGCCGAAAAGGATCACAGAAAGTCAAGGAGCAAGCTGAACACACAGGAATAAACTGGCACTTGAAGAAAAGCATTAAAACTGACAAACGTAAATATGTGGAAGTTCTAGCAATTATGGTGGAAGAAGTTGCAAGACAGGGAGACATGAGACATTCGTACGATACAACAAATAAGCTCGCTGGAAACTATCGTAAACCAGAACGCCCAGTAAAAAGCAGGAAAGGTAAAGTGATACATATCGAACTACTGAAGGCAGAGCTGACAAATTACAGGCATTGTTTAATCGATGAGCGTAAGTAACACATACAAGGAATATACGCACAGAATTATTAAGATGTCAATATTAGACGTATGTGCAACTGAAGATCACAAGACTCTATGTAAAGAAGTGTTAACAGGATTGTCAAAATGAACCAATGGTGTCATGTTGTCTGAGTTATTTAGGTCTAATCAAAAGCTAGGATGAATCATACTAGTTTTTATTGTGTTACCAAAACCTTACAGGTTCGCAGATGCATAGCTATTGATTCAGATGAGTACATATGCCTAGTTAAATCATCAGTTCATTGTGGATTATTATATTACTTC